TTTAAAAAAGAAATAGTGTGATTTATAGCTGTAAAATGTTGCAGCATCTGCGACAGTCTCCGTGGCGGAGCTCATAAGACGCATGTCAACATGTTTTGACACGTTCGAGCATGAACTCAGTTCGAATCCAGCGTCTGATAAACTCTTTCTTCTTTTTTTCCCCGCTACATATCAGATATTGCCAACTATTTATCACGAGAAATACAAATAGGAATCATTAATAAGTTTGTGCATCATATTTTATTTGCACATTTATTGAATGGAAATGTTTCTGATTCACGCATGCAAATTCATCTTCAGATAGTGTCTTTATAGCAATGTGCGTGCAGTAGATAGCTCAGATTACTTTGGAAAAGACGGCGACCGCTGCAAATTATATGTTTAAAAATAATCAACTGTCAACTGTATGGTATGGAAACCTTTATATACCTGCTAGATGAACCCGTCTCATACAGCTGCCATTGCAAGGCTCAGACACTTTGTAGAGAGCAATTTAACACAACTGCCTCTAGGAGTCGCCAATAAAAAATAAAACAGACACGCACAAAAAATGTGCGTACGCCAGCCATAAAGCCGGCGTGGAGCTGTGCACATTCCCACGTTCAGTTCATTGTTAGTAAATCCAAACGTGAGCGATTCTGAGCGTGAAACCTGGCGTACACAACGTTTTTGTGCGTACGCAGCGTTGATACATGAGGCCCCTTGAGTTTGACACTCCTAAAGTAAATGGTCAAGGAGATCTTAAATTTGCGACACCAGGGCTTTGAATACCTAGCTGACAGGGAGGGTAAGTTTAAAGTCTGAAGAGCGATTTTTGGGTACCGTTCACCTCACTGACTTTACCAGGCACCAGAGTTGTATAAAGTACTAGAGACCCATACTTAAGTAAAAGTAGAATTACTTTATCAAAAATTGACTTGAGTAGAAGTTGAAGTGCTCTTTAAGCACCATACTTAAGTGGAAGTACAAAAGTATTCAACATTTTTTGTACTTAAGTATTGCAAGTAGTTTATTTCAAAATTTACTACTCAAGTACTGAAAGTAAAAGTACAAGTATTGTGTAATGTAGTTATTAAAGAAAGCAGTCAAAATACACTAATTGTTTTGATTATTTTAAATATCTTTTTGGGGTACTTGATTCAGCAGAACGAAAAGAAACATGGCTTACGATACTGTTTTTCTCTGTAAACAGTTTCTGTGCCCTTAATTTGACCTGCTCAAAGAAAACACTCTTTCTGGATGTATCAAACAAAACTCATGCACAGAAGACAGCATGAGCATTTACAGCTAATAAACTCATGTCAATATTATCCCACCTGCTTTTTGAGCGCTGGCAGGCGGGTCTTACACGGCTATGATTGGTCCTCAACAGAAAGGGCTTTAGAAATATACGCGATTATCACAGGTAATAGACACAGTGGAGAAAACTTAATTGCACATGAGGCACGCTCATGTCTGGATCCACAGCTTTAACAGCTAAGAAGAGAGGAAAAGTTACCTTACAAACTGGCCAGCGGGTCAAATGTCTAAAGTGAGAGAGCGAGAGATAGGCAGAGGTGAAGTTTTACAACGTTTCTCCCTAACAGTAAACTAGCAGCTGGTATGCTGTGCCGCCTCGCCATCGCGCCTCCGTCCTTCGCCATAGTATTGCGACATCGCGCATAGGAGATAAATGACGACATCACGAAATAACCGGTTATGACCTATTACTGAACTGATATCGATCATTTTGACACCCCTAGTAACGGGTAACGATGCAGCACATAAAAAATCTATTGGATTAAAAGTATTAAACTCATGGAAAATATGTACTTAAGTAAAAGTGGAAGTAGGAGAAAAAAAATAATACTCCAGTAAAGTACAGATACTGCCTTTTAGTACTTAAGTACAGTAGTGAAGTAGTTCTACTTCGTTACGATACATCTCTGCCAGGCACTAATCTGCATTCCTGTTTGTCATATAAGACTATCAATAAACATTGCTGCATCCAAGTTCAAACATGTTCCAGAAATATTTGGTTTGCAAATGTATCCCTGTGTGTTCCTCTGTTCATGACTGTACTTTTGTTCTCATGTAAATGTTTTACAAATTCTCAAGAACTGCTTATTAAGCCAGACGTCAATATGTTTGCGTATACAATCAGATACAATAAAGGCCTGTGATTAAGCAAGTAAATAAGTCTTGTTGAACTACTTTACCATCTTAATTAAATATTGAATGAATTTAATGCCATGTATGTTTGTTACCAAGTAAGTTTTTAGTTCATGAGGTCTAAATACTAGATAAGATATTTAATATACAGGAATTTATTTTTTTTTTTGTCTAATGAAAGTCCAGGTTCATGTTATTGTGTCATGTCTGAATAGTTATTCTATCCCCAGACAATCTATACCGCCATTTTGTTTGTGTCGAAATTCGACGTGTATAGACGTTTACACTGCGCACTGATTAGATATAACACTAGATCATGTCATTCACCAGTTAGAAAACTCTATGGAGACACACACTTTATCAAGCGTAGTTGTTGACAGGCCAGTGAGTGCAGGAATTATATTTCCCCAAAATTGTGTCACTGGCTGTCACTTCACAAATTAACAAATGTGTAATTATAAATTAAACTTCACCTCAGTAAAGCTGGTCAGTTTTGTTATTAAACTAAATGAAGATCAGATCAGAATAAAGCAGCGCTAAAAACAGAAATATCCTGTCATCTGTTTACATTACACTTACAATACCAAGACAAAGAGTGACTTTTCATTTTCAGTTGTGCTTGCTGGTCCTCGTTTATCGCTTGTTTTCATCTCCTTTTTCACTTAAACAACTAAACGAAAGCTCAGGTCTATTAAACTGACTATATTATCAATGCTGTAAAAGGCACTCCATGAACTTGAAAATAGCTAGTCTTCTGCCGGACGTTTTCAGTGGCTGAACAACACTACCGTGCATATAAACAGTGCATGCCAGAGTGTGTGTGTGTGTGGTCCAGTGATGTGCATTTTTAGTGGTGTAGTGTGGATGGAGGGTTGTTCAGAAATGCTGGGTGAAACGCTATCGTGGACGCGGATCGTTTTCATTGTAAAATGGCATTTTAATACTAAAACATATTAGTGTAAACGGGGCCTAAAATAAATCGAGTCCTAATAACTGTATAGCTATTTTAACGGTTTGAGGAAACCGATTGCGGCAAATTGTTTAAGTTGACTGAACTCAAACGAATAAAGTGAATCAACTTAAATATTTTGCTGTAATCGGTTTCCTCAAACCATTTGAGTAGCTATACAGTCGTTAGGACTTAATTTGTTCTATTACCTGAACACAAATAGATATTAACATAAAACAAAAACTAACATGTGTAAACAAGAAATTGCATAAAAATAATGTATTTTAAGACAAACTTATTGAGATAAAATATTTATTCCAGTCAAGCATATTAAGTTCAAAGCCACACTGTAAAACCCAACACTTTATCAAATGAAATGAGTGTAGTGAACTCAAAACTGACTGAAAGTTAATTCTACTCATTTGAGTTTTGAACTCAGTGTTGTTAAAGTTAGTTAAATACCTCATTACTTCAACTTAAATAGATTAAGTTCACAGTATTCATATATGTTCATTTTTTAACTCAAATGGTTTGTAGCAATCGGTTTCCTCAAATGGTTTGGGCTGCCTTAACTTATTGGGTTTTACAGTACTCAGTTGTTTTGAGTTCTCTTCCTTCAGTTTTACTCTGCTTAAATTGCTTCATTTACTGAAATGGATTAAGTTCACAGTACTCATTGGGATTCACTTTTGAACTTAAATGGTTTGCAATCAGTTTCCTTACATAGTTTAAGTTACCTGATTTTTTTCTGCATGTTCAATCATGCTGATAAATGTAAATTAGCTAAATTTTTTTGTATAACAAAAAATACAATTAATCTCCTTCTTGAATTGATTATACAGAACTGTTGAATTTATGTACAGTATGTTCAACAAGTACATTATAAGTAGCTAATTAAATTAAAAAACCTTACTTTTTAGCAGAAAAGTTATTTGATTAACACTGAACCATGTTAAAGGGAAAGTTTGACAAAGAAATAATTACTCCCTATTTATGCATGTGCAAGTAGTTCCAAACCTTCATAATTTTGGTTCTTCTGCTGAACACTATATTATTTAAAAGATATAGAGTATAAAAATATATATACACTATACACATTTATTAATTACCACATTAGTTTATGCTTAATTTAACCACGATGAACTCATGATATGTTAATGTATAATTATGTTGTGACTTTACTTGGAGGGGCACATCATCATTAATCCATGCTTAACTACTCATGAACTCCTTATGCACGTCCAACTAGTGAGTTTACACTGAATAACAACAGAAAAGTGTTGTCAACATCAACATGAACAGGAGCTCATGAGTAGTTAAGGATGAGTTAATAGTGATGTGCCCCTCCAAGTAAAGTCATGACATAACTATACATTAACAGCTCATGAGTTCATGTTGGTTACATTTAGCTTAAACTTAAATGTGAATTAACAACATGTACTAACAAGTAATTAAGGTAGTCGTTATTTACACATGAACTCATGTCACTCATGTTGTAGTTAAAGCTAATTCATGATTAGTGCATACCTTAACTCATCATTAATTCATAATAAAGTAATGTTTAGTTTACATACTGTATTAATACATCATTATTCATGTACTGTTGTTGTAAAGTGTTACCGAAAGCTGTAACCATTGACTTTATTAGTAGGAACAAAATATACAATGTAAGTCAATTGTCAGAGCTTTCCAGCTTTCTTCAGAATATCTTCATTGTGTTCAACAGAAGAAAGAAAGTCAAACAGGAACAAGTAAAGGCTGAGTGAATGATGACAGACTTTTCATTTTTGAATGAACTATCACCTTTAAGCAGAATAAACACCAACTACAACCCCAACAAAACATCGGCAAGCAAATAAACCAGATGCAAGTGAAGATTAAGGAAACTGATTTCCTGTACCTGCTCTGTTTTCGGTACCCAACAGCCACTTCCAGCGTCATGGTGCTTTCAGCATCTCTTGCTCTGAAAGACAAACGCTCCACACACTCACACAGAAGCTCAGACGCTGCGGAGGCTCAATCCCTCTTTCATCCCCTTAACACTGAGTCCTCTGTTTGAGTTCACTCTCGCTTTTTTATTTCCCATGTCTGTAAAGTGACATTTAGCTTCATCTCAGCCAGAAGGACAGGAAAATCACCGATCAAATCTATCTTACCACTTTTATCACAGCAATCAAACTTATATTTCTTAGTTATCAGTATTTACCACACATATACTATGGAAGAGGCAATGGCTACTGGTTTCTAGCTGTATTTAAAATAGAAGAAAGAAACATAAAGGTTTGAAACCAGTAAAAATTGAGTAAATGATGACTGAATTTTCATTTTTGTGTTATATCCTATTTTCCCTTATACCAGTTTCATACATTTGGGGATTTCTTAAATTGAACTATTTTCAATTTTACCCATTTGGACACCAAACAATGCACAGGGCTTCATTTATTCATTTGTTTTTCGGCTTAGTCCCTTTATTAATCTGAGGTTGCCACAGAGAAATGAACTGCCAACTTATCTAGCATATGTTTTACACAGCGGATGCCCTTCCAGCCGCAACCCAACACTGGGAAAGACCCAAACACACTCTTTTACACACATATACTTCGACCAGTTTAGTATAGCGCATGTGTTTGGACTGTGGGGGAAACCGGAGCACCCAAAGGAAACCCTCAGCAGCACGGGGAGAACATGCAAACTCCAGAAATGCCAACTAACCCAGGCTTGAACCAGCAACTTTTTTTGCTGTGAGGCAAGAAGGATCTCCACTGCCCCAGCGTGACACCCTGATCTTTATTTAAAGGAGGATGAATCATTTGGAAAGTAACAGTATCTCTTTTATGAATTGTTTTCCTCTGTTACAACATCTATAGCCTAAGGACATTTCCGAAATACGGTTTAATTGACATACAAAACATTTTTGTTCCTCTTTTAAGAAAAGTACACTGTGGATTTTTATTTATTATTTTTTTATCTGCTGGAAGACATTTAAGATCCTAAAAATCTTTTAAACTAAATCAACTGTACACTATCTAGCAAAAGTTGTTTTCAAGTTTTAGGAACAGCAAATAATAACTTGACATCTAGTTGATCATTTAGAAGTGGCTTATGTGAAAGGCAAAGGCCTCTAGATTACGCTTATTTGACCAAAATAAAATATGATCATGCCTTGATTTTGAATGATTTAATTAGGACAGTAAGGTCTGACATTGCTTAGACAAAAGTCTTGAACAGAAATAATGTCCAGTATAGAATATAAAGTCATGCTGCAGTGGAGACAGAATGAATATTGTGTCTGACTCCATCATGAGCTTGGAGGGCTGCATCCATACATCTCTGCAATGACTCAAATCACTGATTAATAAAGTCATCTGGAATGGCAAAGAAAGCGTTCTTGCAGCCTCCTCCATCTTAGCTCAGACATGCTCAATATTGTTCATGTCTGGTGACTGGGCTGGCCAATCCTGGAGCAGCTTGACCTTCTTTGCTTTCAGGAGCTTTGATGTGGAGGCTGAAGTATGAGAAGGAGCGCTATCCTGCTGGAGAATTTGCCCTCTCCTGTGGTTTGTAATGTAATGGGCAGCACAGATGTCTTGATACCTCAGGCTGTTGATGTTGCCAAACACTCTGCAGATCTCTCACACGCCCCCATACTGAATATAACCCCAAACCATGACTTTTCCCTCACCAAACTTGACACTGGCTGTTGTGATGGTTTGTTCTTGAACGATTCGTTCATTTTGAAGCTTTTGTATGACTCGAGAACCCCTCAGGAAGTAATTCGTTCATTTGCCTACACAAACATTTGTGCAGGTGGAGTAGAAGATTAGTTCATTTTTCGAGTCTTCTATCGGGTTAGGGTCGCTCGTTCATCACGTAAAAGACAGAAGTCAATCGTATACATTTAGAGCCGGAAAAAGATTTGATTAGTTTATTTCTGGAGTCCTCGATTTGAGTTGTTCGTTCATCACATAAAACAAAGAAGTCAATCATATGCATTTAGAGTCAGGAAAAGATTTGATCTGTTCATTTCTCGAATCCTTGGGTTTGAGTCATCTCTCTTTACATGCTGTCACATGATGAACGAACGATTCAAAAACCAGCAGACTCAAAAGGTGAACTAATCATGGCTCCTTTTAGCTCAGACTGTTTGCATTGGTTAAGCTTATTTAGGACTGTGTGACATGAACAACTCAAATTTGAAGACCGGTCAGAAGTGGTGAGCTGACATAATCAAAGACCGAAGACCAGGTAAAGAATAAATGATTATTTTCTCTTTCTTCTAGACGCATTTAAATCCATAAACAAAGCAGCATGCGTTGCGTTTTTAACATGGCATTAGACGCAATATGAGAAAATGAACCAGATACAGTACACAGAGTTACAAGTAACAAAACACTATTAAATACATCATTTGCTAGCTAGCGAAAACAAGGAGGCAACCATTTTAATTGCACTTACTTACACTTGTGAAATGGAGGAAGAAACTGATCCATCAACTGTGTAATGATAAAGTTCCTATCAAGCTCTGAGAAGTGGCTTACATCAATAGTCTTTTCTGATCCTTCCTTTAACAAACGGCTGACGAATCCCCTGTTGTAAGCGTGTAGATTCCAGGAAACACAGCACAAGGCTGGGTCGATAATGCTGAGGTATTTTTGCAAAAATAAACCTGAACCATTGACTCTTCACAGTTTCATCTTTGGGTAGAGAAATTAATACTAACTTTCCCCTCACACTTCCAATAATATCCAGCTGAGCACAGCGTCTACATGACTTGATTCAACCGGGGGCTGCTACAGTGTTTGTGGGCGGGGCCGCAAGTTTCAATTTTCCCAGGTTTCCATGCGCAAAAATTGGGCGGGGCTTAAGTTTTGAATCAACATCACGCTGAAACGCTGGAGACTCGTTATCAAGACGATTTATTTGAAGCACTAAGGTTTCTTTTATGAATGAATCTGTTACACAACCAGCGATCGCTTTCCAGAGATTGCTGGTTCTCACACGAACACCAGGACTACACTTCCGCATATCCCAGGACTACATTTTCATACATGCACTTCTTCCAGTCACGCACGCCTGTTCATTCATCTACCCTGATTACAATCACCAGCTGATCCTTGTCATGGACTGATAGCATTCCATTCATAAGCCACTCATGAACCCATCCAGGTTGCCGAGTCTTGTTCGCATTTTGTGACATTACAACGCGTTTCCCTGTCTTGTTTCTCCGTGTTAGACCTTAGCCTTGTTTTCCTTGTTCTCCTGTTTAGCCGCCTGCCTTACGACCTTTTGCCTGTTTATCTGACCACGATTCTGGACTGTCTATATATATCCGTTTGCACCTGTATGACCACTGCTTGCCTGACGCTGAATAAACCTGCATATTGGATCTTACCTCAAGTTGTATCTGTTACTCCACCCCCGTCGTTACAGAATCAATAGTTTTAAACAATGTCTACTTTTAGATTTATGCCTTCGCTAGATATTTCACTTCACTTAGAGCTGTGATACACTACATGGAAGGTCATTTTTTTAAAAACCCACAATAGGGTCTTTTTATAAATATTTTGGCGAATTGAAAAATGACTCGGAAAAAGACTCAAAAGGTTAGAGTCAGTAAAATGATCTGAACTTCTCATCACTATTTGGCTCTACAATATTGATCTGATGATATCCATTTGTGAATTAAGTTAATAGGTGTCTGCAATAGTGTACATCTATTGTTACATTTAAATTGTGTCTTTATATATTCATCTTTATATTATGTAATATGCTTTTACAATTTTAGTAGTTATCAACTCAGCTTATTCATATTAATAATACTACCTCTGTCTGTTCATTGTAGCATATGTAAATAGATCTGCGCTGCACTTACTGCTCATATGTGCACTTTGGTTAGACGCCAACTGGATTTTGTTACCTGGTACATTACGTGTAGTGACAATACACTTGAATCTAATCTAGTCTAATCTAAATTTCCCAAATAAACACGGCAGCTTCTTTTTTTACCCCTTAAAATAAACAAATGTATTAAAATATCTGTTAGGTGTTTAACACTTGGATCCGCCTATTCTGCCTATAAATAATAGACAGACATCAGGCTAAGAGCATCTTGGAGACTAACAAGTGATCATCTGTCTGACAACAGTTGTTGAACATTAAATTTGGTAAATATTATTTACAGTATTGTGAAGACTTTGTGTATTAGTCTCTGAAAACTGTTTGTTATAAGCAGATGTCTTTAAAGCTGAAAGTTAAAGCAGTGAAGAATGTTTTCTATGGGTATTTTTGCATTATTTTCTTTCAGACCTGCAGCAAAAGATGTTGGGCTTTATTTTCACTCTGCTCATTCTGACACCAGCAGCTGCTGAAGGTAAAACTCTTAAATCAACAGAGCACACAGTTAGCTTTAATGCAGAATTTAGCTTGTTTGCTTCATTATTTTTAATGCATATTTTAATTTTCTCTCACAGTGGGTCTTGGTGGAAAAGTTCTTCTGTTTCCAACCCAAAGTGCTACCAGCTATGTTAAACTGACTCCTGATAAACTCCTGAGTCTGTCAGCGTTTACTCTCTGCATGCGTGTGGCGACCGAGCTCCAGGGCGGGCGGGAAGTCATTCTGTTCGCCTACCGCACTTCTGAAGTTGATGAACTCAATGTGTGGAGAGAGAACGATGGCCGTTTGTCCATGTATATTCAGTCTAGTAGCGATGCAGCACGTTTCTATCTTCCCCCTCTCTCCACATTTCAGACACATCTGTGTGTGTCCTGGGAGTCTGCAACTGGTCTTACTGCTTTTTGGGTGGACGGGCGTCGCAGTTTGTACCAGATCTATAAGAAAGACGCCTCTGTCAGACCTGGCGGCACCGTACTGCTCGGACAGGACCCTGATTCATATGTAGGTTCGTTTGACGCAAATCAGTGCTTTATTGGTGAAATTACAGATGTGAAACTGTGGGATTATGTTCTGTCTGAGATCCAGATTAAGGCTTTGTATTCAAACCAGGATCCGTTGGTGCCAGCGGGAAATGTGTTTGACTGGGACACCGTCAAATATGATGTTGTGGGAAATGTGACGGTGGCTAATGATAATCTCTGATCTTGATCTGTTGTAGCGCATTGTGTGTTTCACGTGGTTGTGTCTATCTTTATAGTCTGTTTATCTCTTTTAATGAAAGCTGTAAGGCCTATCAAATAAATCTTTCTCAGCATTTCAATTGCAGTCTGTTTTCCTTCTTTTTCTGAACAACTGATGATACAGTCGTTTACTCTGTGGCTTATTTAAAGTGGTAGTCTGTTCATAAATGGAAATATTAATCAGTACCTGTAGGGGACTTTTCTCTTTAGTAAAACTACGACTGGTTTCATCCAAATACACATATGAAACTTAAAAAGAAAACTGGAATATTGCAGTAAACATTTTAGGAATGAAGCACTGAAAAACAAACACTTTTTTGATGCAAATTCTCAAAGTCTGCATTTGCACTGCAGATCTTGATGATTAATTCCGATTTTGTGACTGTGTCCGATTTTTTCTTTTGATGACCTGCTTACATCATCTTTTAAAAGTGACTCGTATCTGATCATGTGCATTATTTTACACAGCACACGGCAAAGGCGAAATGACCAGAGGGAAAATAGAGTGGGCGCTGACTGACAGCTGATAATTAAAGAGTTCTCTTTTCTCTATTCCTGTTTCTGTTCACAGCTTTTGACAAGCTGTTTTACTATAGTTTATGACAGAAAGCTTCTCATTTGTCCATATTCTTTTGGTATATAGGCTTTTTTAAACCTTTAGGCATCTTAATGTGATGTCCATGGCATGATTTATGCACGTGATTTAGCTATACACTCGTTTTTTATTAGTTTATATTAGTTAGGTGGCGGACATTTTGCTCTCATTAACATGCTTAAATATCTGTGCTATATGACAATATAAATGCTGTTTAAGTCCTCGTGTATGAGATTTAAGGTTTGGAACTCTGCTGAAGTCTGTTCTGAAATGAAAGTGGGAGACTTGACGTCATTTGCTATGTTTTTTTTTATTGATGCACGACTCGCATTGACAGGTGAAAATCCGATCTACCTGCTTACACTGCAGACACGAGGACACAGATCCGATTCATATTGGATACATTTCCACATGCAAACAAAGCCTGAATCTTATTTGAGTAAATCGGAATCCATGTGATTTGAATCCTGCTTATACGTGCACGGACCATATCCCATCTGTGCCACATGAGAGAAAAAAATCAGAATTGAGTCACTTGAACAGTGCAGTGTAAATGCGACCAAAATGTATGAGCATAACTATAAGTAAAACAAAGGTTATGTCATTTGGGAAATTAAAAAGAAGCCATAATATAGATTTAACAACCGATATTGAAGTAATAGAGTATACGCAATTACGCTTCTTGGTGTTGTATTGGATCGTAAAATTAGTTAAAAACCGCAAATAAATAATGAGAAATCAAAATTAGTTGTAATAGTATATAAAGCAAGCTTTATCCTGGACAATAAATCAATGTATGCATTATATAACACACTTATGCTGCCATATGCGAGTTATTGTGTTGAAATTTGGGGTACCATAGACTGTAAAAGATATGGATGTAGTATCCGTGACGTCACCCTTAGGTTTCTGATGAGTGCAAAAGAAGCTACCAGTAGGTGTGGCCTACCGTCGACATTTTGTTCGTGTGTCATAGCATCGACTAGGAGCAGTGGCGCCCCCAAAAAATTTTCTTAGGGGTGGCCAGAAGAGGCCACACTAAATTTTGGGGTGGCACAAAAAAAATGATAAATTCAGTGTTTTATATATAATATATTATATATATAATTTATTATAATATAATTTATTTATTATATATATAATTTGTTTCTGGTAAATGAAAAAGTGGTTTAAATATTGCAATTTATTCGTTGAAATAATTTAGCAAGTACATGTGCGAACCAAATAAAGAGTATTTAGTTTAAAAACACTTTTCATGTATATTTATATATATATATATATAAACTTTTAGGTTATTTTTCACACACTGTTATTGTACAGCATGTAGTATATGCCATGTCTAAACTTAATGAAGATTGAGTTAAATAATAAAACAAACAAATAAACAAACTAAACAAAAGGCATTATTTACTATACACACACTCACTATACAGACTCTAATAATATCATTTATCCATATCCTTTTTTTGAGCCACAATATTACTAATGCAGCTTCTTCTATTGATGTACCCTAAGGTAAATATTAAATTGCCATTGCTGTCATTGGTATGTGCTTGCTGTCAACGACCATCGGGGAGGACAGTGGTGGTTCTAGTTGAAATGACACCCTGGGCGAACCACCCCACACCCTTAAATTGTTAATTTATTTTTCGATTAATATAACTATTTATTTTTATTTTAAATAAATACTATTATTATTCTAAATAAATAACAGAAATCAATCCTAAATGTTCAAACAAAGTAACAACTGGATTGATATGCTAAGATCACTTAAGAAACCTTTTGCATGGATATTATGACAATTCTAAAGAATACAAAAATATATATAATTTATAGAACTATCTGTTGTCTTAGAACCAACTCATGGCCGAGAATTCATGTTATGAAGTCTTACCTCCCTAGCTCTTTATCCCTCCTTTCTGCTTTATAGTCATGCTTAGTAAAAGTAAAATCATCATCATATTATATAAACTTTAGTTTAGTCGACTTGCAAAACTCGCTGAATGCCAACACCTCTGCACAAAAGACTGATACTCTGGTTTCACGGCGCATATTTTATCGGCGCCCATGCAAACAACAGGAGTGCGTGAGGCGCACGGGAATGGTTTTCTGCGCGCATGCGTCAGTTTGCTTTCACCAGCGTTGAACCAGCGCTGAGGAGGAGGCAGTGAATCCGCTATGTCGGTGACACCAAGAATAATTTAATGCATTTTATTTATTTAAATAATGGGAATTTACATAAGTACATTTAAATTTATAATGTCAACAGCAAAATCATATTGGGGTGGCCACAGGGGTGGCCAGAGTTTACCCAGGGGTGCCCCTGACTAGGAGATACCAAACAAGGGCAAAGAGGCGGAGCTACAGACGCATGCTGCCATTCTGCCTAGACTGGCTTTCCTATGGGAAAAACACTTGACACTTCATTACCTGTTACATGTTTATGTTCTGACCACATGTGCTTGGTTGTACACCATATAAGTGTTCAGACTTTTGAAAATACTGCTGTAATGCATTGAGCCACAAAGCATTGTTCTTATGATGCTTTTCACCCAGAAGAAAATGCAAATTACTTCCAAATACTTCAGATAAAGTGTGTGTTAGTAAATGCAAGGCTATTTATGAAATCCAGGCATAACACTGTATGACAACGCTTCAGATGACTCTTCTAGAGCCTAATCAATCTGCCAGATTCTGGAGTGCATTACAGCTTTAAAGAAAATGATGAATGATCAAAAGATTCCTATTTTTTCCTAATGATATATGATGTAATACGTTTGTATTTTTAAAATTAGTCTTGTTTTAATTTTTCTTGTTTTAATTTTTCTAATCCAGCAAAAAAAGTACTGCTTAAAATGTCACTAAAACGCAGTATTTTAATCTCATAGTTAAATAGAAACTACGGAGACCCAGAAGGGGTGTAGTGGAGGAGAAAAAATTGGCTGGGTGAAAAAAAATAATGGATAGAAGGAAAAAATGGGTAAAAGAAAAAAATGGCTGGGAGGAAAATATATATTTTTAAGATTTGTGTTATTTCGCAAAAATGTTTCTCCACAAACACTTCCTGTTGACTGCACTCTCTTAAACCCTCCCATTTTTGCTGAAATTCTCCTGTATTTTACCATTCTATCTCACTTTCTTCACAATAAAGCTGTGCGTCGATCGTCGCCTTTCATATACAACCTCTGAACCAGTGAATGCATGTATAAGCTCTGACTGACAGACGCGCCCCATACAATAAACAGATCAGCTTTTGTACGCACCATTTACAGAGGAGCAAAGGTGCAGGACACTTTTGGATTCGGGTGTATAATTAAACAGACAAATACACTGAATAATATGTAAACATCTCCGTCCTGCATGTTTTATTTTAAACAGCGAATTTCCTCTTAAATGAGCACAAACAGTTTCTAAAGTAATGGACTGCTTCATTATAGATTTTTGCATTCTTACAGAGACACCTCTGTTATCAAACTAAACAAAACATGAGATTCATTTGCTGGTCACTTGTTTGATAACAGAGGTGTCACTTTACATGGCGCGTACAGAAGCTGATCTGGGATCAGTTTATTGTATGGAGCGCGTCTGTCAGTCAGCGCTTACACATGCATTCACTGGTTCTGAGATAGCATTTGAAAGGCGACGATCGACGCACAACTTTAATGTAAAGATAGTAGGATAGAATGGTTAAATACAGGAGAATTTCAGCAAAACTGAAGGGTTTACATGAGTAAAGTAAACAGGAAGTGTTTGTGTAGAAACAATTTTGCGAGAGAATGCAAATTATCTTAGCGAGATAACGCAAAACATCTTTGCGAGTGAAAACAAAACATCTTTGCGAGGGAACGCAAAACATCTTTGCGAGATAATGCAAAACTTTGCGAGAGAACGCAAAAACTTAAAAATATATATTTTCCTCTCAGCTATTTTTTTCCTCCTACCCATTTATTTTTTTTTCACCCAGCCAATTTTTTCTCCTCCACTACGTGCTTTCCGGGTCTCTGTAAGAAACTGAGGCGTATAACTGCAAAAATGGTCCACTTTTTGAGAAAAAAAAACCCTCTTTCACCAGGCTGGCTACAGGCCTGTATCAGATTTTTGTTTAAAAAAGTATCTTAGTGAATATTTTACAGATTCAGATCCAAGTCGTTTTAAGTTTAGTAACAAATCTGTTTATGTTTTGAACGGTCTAATCACAATTTGTAGAAGACTTTTTGGATAAAAGCGTTGACTAAAATAAATGTAGAGCAAAGTTCGAGACAGATTTGTTTGGGACCATTATCAGACCATGGTTGGGAAGTTTTTGCCACTGAGATCTTTCAAGTTTACATGAACATGAAAGGGCGTCACATTGGTGCAGTGGGTAGCACGATCGCCTCACAGCGAGAAGGTCACTGGTTTGAGCCCCGGCTGGCCCAGTTGGCTTTTTCGTGTGGAGTTTGCATGTTCTTTCTGTGTTGGCAAGGGATTCCACCAGGTGCTCCGGTTTCCCCCACATGCGCTATAGGGGAATTGAGTAAACTAAATTGGCTGTAGTGTGTAAGTGTGTGTGAATGAGTGTGTATGTGATTATCAGACATATTTGCAGGAGCAAATCCCTCTGTGGTGAGTGACATTTACTGTGGTAATGCTGCTTTGTGTGCGGCGAGAGTTCGGTTTTCTTTTGGAGAACTGGAAAACAGTGCAGGCGCAGAAGGTGGCTCTCAGTTCAGTCAGCTTTCGTATAATTGGTGTGCTCATGCGCATCTTTTTAGTCTAGGCGGGACCATACTTGAGCCAATGCGAGGCCACAACTGTGGGGTTTTGTTGGTTCTAGACGTTTGCCATCTGCCTTTGCACTTTGGCTGTACAATACTGATTTTATCACATCTATATGTAAATGAAGTTCAAAGGTTTCATGTTTTAGTGTGCACCTATTAATTTGAATTGTCTGTAATATGTTTCTAGTAAGTCTGTATAATACGCCTTATCACATACATTTATAATCTTTTTTGTTACCAACTCCGCTTATTCACATCTATAATACTACTTCTGTGTAAATAGAGCTGCGCTGCAATTACTGCTTATATTTGCACTCTGGTTAGTTGAAAACTGGATTTTGTTTCCTTGTACATTACAAGTGTATTGACAGTTAACTTGAATCTAATCTAATCTAAATGACCCAAATGAACACTCCAGCTTCTTTATTAGTGTATACACAATTGTGTTAAAACAATGGGCTTTAAAATTTGGCTCCGCCTATTCTGCCTATAAATAATGGAGAGACATCAGGCTAAGAGCATCTTGGAGACCAACAAGTGATCATCTGTCTGACAACAGTTGTTGAACATTGAATTTGGTAAATATTATTTACAGTATTGTGAAGCTTTTGTGTATTAGTCTCTAAAAACGGTTTGTGTTAAGCAGATTTCTTTAATGCTGAAAGTTAAAGCTGTGAAGAATGTTTTCTATGGGTATTTTTGCATTATTTTCTTTCAGACCTGCAGCAAAAGATGTTGGGCTTTATTTTCACTCTGCTCATTCTGACACCAGCAGCTGCTGAAGGTAAAACTCTTAAATCAACAGAGCACACAGTTAGCTTTAATGCAGAATTTAGCTTGTTTGCTTCATTATTTTTAATGCATATTTTAATTTTCTCTCACAGTGGGTCTTGGTGGAAAAGTTCTTTTGTTTCAAACCCAAACTGCTACCAGTTATGTTAAACTGACTCCTGATAAACCCCTGAGTCTGTCAGCGTTTACTCTCTGCATGCGTGTGGCGACCGAGCTGCTGGGCGAGCGATCGGTCATTCTGTTCGCCTACCGCACTTCTGAAGTTGATGAACTCAATGTGTGGAGACGGAAAAATGGCAGTGTGGGTTTGTTTATTCAGACTAGTAGCAATCCAGCAAGTTTCTATCTTCCCCCTCTCTCCACATTTCAGACACATCTGTGTGTGTCCTGGGAGTCTGCAACTGGTCTTACTGCTTTTTGGGTGGACGGGCGTCGCAGTTTGTACCAGATCTATAAGAAAGATGCCTCTGTCAGACCTGGCGGCACCGTACTGCTCGGACAGGACCCTGACTCATATGTAGGTTCGTTTGACGCAAATCAGTGCTTTATTGGTGAAATTACAGATGTGAAACTGTGGGATTATGTTCTGTCTGAGATCCAGATTAAGGCTTTGTATTCAAACCAGGATCCGTTGGTGCCAGCGGGAAATGTGTTTGACTGGGACACCGTCAAATATGATGTTGTTGGAAATGTGACGGTGGCTAATGATAATCACTGATCTTGATCTGTTGTAGCGCATTGTGTGTTTCACGTGGTTGTGTCTATCTTTATAGTCTGTTTATCTCTTTTAATAAAAGCTGGAAGGCCTATCAAATAAATCTTTCTCAGCATTTCAATTGCAGTCTGTTTTCCTTCTTTTTGTGAACAACTGATGATACAGTCGTTTACTCTGTGGCTTATTTAAAGTGGTAGTCTGTTCATAAATGGAAATGTTAATCAGTTCCTGTAGGTGACTTTTCTCTTCAGTAAAACTACGACTGGTTTCATCCAAATACACAAATAGAACTAATAAAGAAAACTGGAATATTGCAGTAAACATTTTAGGAATGAAGCACTGAAAAACAAACACTTTTTGATGCATATTCTCAAAGTCTGCATTTACAGTGCAGATCTTGATGGTCTATCCGATTTTGTGACTGTGTCCGATTTTTTATTTATTTATTTATTTTTTTTTTTGATGACATGCTTACATTATTTTTTAAAAGTGACTCGTATCCGATCGTCTGCATTTACACTAGTGATGGGAAGTTAGGATCATTTTACTGACTCGGATCTTTGAGTCTCGTTCATCAAATCTTTTTTCGTGTAATTTCGTTAATTTGGTTCAATTTGCCAAAATGTTATTAAAATGTTACGAATTGCTTCTAAACACATCTACAACTAGCCCAAAAAGTTAATCACACGACAAATAAGTCATAAATAGAATACTATAAGAAGGAGAAAATAATAATTCAGTGTTGACCTGCTCTTTTGTCAATGAAGGTATTGTTGTCTCTTTGCTCAGCTCACCTCTTCATGTCTTCAAATGTCAGTGGTTTGTTGACGTTACACTGACAGTCACATATAATCTTAACCAATCTTCACCGATAGGAGCCATGATAATTAGTTCACCTTTCAAGTCTTGAGTCATTCGTTATTTACGTGACAGAATGACTCAAACCCGAGGAGTCGAGAGATGAACTGTTCAATTCTTTTTCCGGCTCTAAACGCATATGATTGGCCCGTGATGAATGAGTGACTCAGACCCGATAGAGGACTCGAAAGATGAACGGATCAATTCTTTTTCCGGCTCTAAACGCATTTGATTGGTTTCTGCATTTACGCAATGAACGACTCGAAATGTGATGAAGACTTGAAATGAACGATATCACCTGCACAAATGTGCGCACATGCGGATGAACGAATCACTCCCTGAGAGGAGTCGTAGTTCCCGAGTCATATTGAAGATTTGTTCAAAATGAATGAATCGTTCATGAACGACCCAGCACTAATTTCCACAGCACACGGCAAAGGCGAAATGACCAGGGGAAAAAAGAGCTGGCGCTGACTAACAGCTGATAATTAAAGAGTGCTCTGTTCTCTATTCCTGTATCTGTATCTGTATATATATATATTTACAAATCTTTATTAATAAATTACACTTCATAATGCAGTAGTAGAATGTTCGAGGTTACAGAAGTAACCCTTCGTTCCCCGAGGAGGGGAACTTCAGTGCCATAGAGTGGATTGATTGAAATCCACGAATGGGAGGATTCGGTTCAGAAGCCGCTTGTCTGAAAGTATTGAACGGGCCAATGAATGCAATGCACAGGTGTACTTCATTGCCAATTATCCCAGCATATAAGCACACCTGGAGCGAGCAAACGCCATCCTTTTAAGCTGAAGAGACTTTCAAACAGCTAAGGGACAGTCATTATGGCGACGGAGTATGGCACTTCCGTTCCCCTCCTCGGGGAACGAAGGGTTACTTCTGTAACCTCGAACGTTCCCCTTCGGTTGGGGAACTTCACTGCCATAGAGTGGATTGATTGAAATCCACGAATGGAAGAAGTATGGAAAGCGCCATAATGACTGCACCTTACCAACACCCCCGATGAGGGGATAGTCAAGCAAGCGTGACGCACCCACATCATGGGAGGCGCGGTCCTCCAACGTGTCCCTGGCCCTAATTTATCCTACTTCGACAGAAGTCTTACGGATTTAGATATATTTTTTGGGAAGTCGTGAGCATCTAGATAATTCTAGGAAAATACGACGGTACGTTGGGAAGCGTGCAATCCCGATAGGGAGGACGCTGCGGAGACCATTCGTTACCCAAGGGGGGATAGATGGCAGAACAGATAGATTACATATGGACTAGCCCTAAAAAGGGGGAGTACGCATAGCAAAAGAGTGGTTAGCGGAGAAGGAAGACACGGGTCCGCCCAGGGGGGGGGGAACTTAACCGTGGTGGAATAAGCATATGGGATCGCCTAGTGGGGATCACGCATAGCAGGCACCTTTACCCAAAACGCGGGCTGACCAGCGGGCAGACCTACAATGTAGTGGGCCAGCAAGTGACTCCTCCGCTGAGTCAGTGCTGGGGGCCACGGAGGAATCTGCCGGGCTCACCTGACGGGGAACTTTACTGACAGATAAAAAGGCGCACGTACCTCCGTGTTAGGGAGAATGGCGCAGCAAGCGTGTTTCAACACCCTACCGAATTGTTTCCTCAATCACCAAGGGTTACCTAATACCCTTGAGGAAACCGGCTCCACTCGCAGATTGTAAAACCTTGCAAATGTGTTGGGTGTCACCCAGCCCGCAGCTCTACAGATGTCTGTTAGAGAGGCGCCGCGTGCGCGCTCGAGAGGATGCGAAGCTCCGAGTGGAGTGCGCACGCACTCTCGGGAGACGCGCTGATAGCGAAAGAAAGGCATCCACAATCTAGTGGGAACTTATTTCCGTACGGCACTTCCATGCTGCTGACCGCTATAACAGACGAAGAGCTGCTCAGATGATCTAAACTCTGAGTGCGGTCCGGATAATACGCAAAACGCGAACTGGACAATAAAGAAGGGCTGGGTCTGCCTCCTCCGAGGGCAGCGCTTGCAGGCTCACTACCTCGTATTAAAACGGAGTGGTAGAAACCTTGGGCACATATCGCGGGCGGGGTCTCAGGACGTGAGAGAAAGCCAGCCCAATTACAGGCACGAGTCACTGACCGAAAAATGCCTCCGGGTCCCCGACCCTCTAATCGATATCAACGCGACCAGCAGAGCTGTCTTCAGGGACAGAAAGATACTGAGTTGAGGATCGAAGGGATCTGACGCGGCTTGTGTAGCGAGGGCGAGATCCTAAGAGGGCATGAGAGGGGGCGGGGTGGATTAATTCGCTTAGTGCCCCTGAGGAACCGGATGATGAGGTTATGCGTTCCCACGGTGCCGCCAGCCACCGCGTCATGAGAGCGGAGATGGCAGCCACGTAACCTTGAGTGTGGAGGGCGACAGCCTGCTCTCCAGCTTCTCTTGGCGTAAAGAAAGCACAACGCTGATTTGGCAAATTACGGGGGTCTTCTCTGCGAGAGACACACCATTCAGTGAATAGACTCCACTTCAGGGCATAGGCGCGCTCGGGGAGGGGGCTCTAGCCCGAGTGACGGTATTAGCCACCGCAATCGGAGGTTACCTAAGTCTTCCTCACGTCTAATGACCTCCAAAGATCGGCGAGGGTGCCAGATGGTGCCCTGTCCCTGAGAGAGTAGGTGCTCTCTCGAAGGGACTGCCAGGGGAGGGCTATTGCGAGGGAGAGCTCTGACATCCAGGTCCGGTTGAGCCAGATGGGCGCAACCAGCAACCTGTTCCTCGTCCTCCCTGACCTTGCACAGTAACTGCGCGAGCAGGCTCACTGGGGGAAACGCGTATTTGCGCATGCCCCGAGGCCAGCTGTAAGCCAGTGCATCCGTGCCGAGAGCACTCGGCCAGGGAAAGAACAACTGGCAATGAGCGATCTCGGCGGAAGCAACAGATCGATCTGGGCTTCCCTGAATCGCGCCCATATCAGCTGAACAGACTCGGGTGGAGTCTCCATTCTCCAGGACGTAAGGCTGCCGTGAGAGCGCATCGGCTGCACGGTTAAGCTTGCCTGAATATGAATGGCGTGCAGCGATTTCAGCCGCGGATGACTCCAGAGGAGCAGACGGCGGGCGAGCTGAGACATGCGGCGAGAGCGCATACCCCCCATACGGCTGATATACGCCACCGCCGCCGTACTGTCCGTCCTGACCAGCACGTGTTGCCGCTCCAGCACCGGAAAAAAACGGTGGAGAGCGAGGAACACTGCCAACAGCTCCAGGCGATATGCCAATGCAACTGGGTACCTTTCCACAGGTCCTGCTGAAACGACAACAAGACTGGATGCCTGTTCTAGAGACACCCAGGCCTGTAGGAACGAGGGGTCGCTCCAAGGGCTGAGGGCGCGGCGACACAGCGCAGTAACAGAGACTCGGTGTGCGCGCGCGTGCCATGCGCGTCTGGGGACTCGATCGTGAAGCCAGTGCTGAAGTGGTCTCATATAGAGTAATCCGAGCGGCATGAAGCGGCTGCGGATGCCATATGCCCCAGGAGCCTCTGAAATAGTTTCAGTGGGACCACTATTTTACTGTCGAGCTCTCTCAGACAGCTGCGAGTTTGCTCTTTTCTCGGTTGACCTGAAACCCCAACAGGTGGAAGTGCCGGAGCACTTTGTCTCTGTGCATAATCAACTGCTCCGAGAGAGGGCAAAAATCAGCCAGTCGTCAAGAAATTGAGTATGCAGATGCCCGCAAGCCGAAGGGGCACTAAGGCACCCTCCGCGGGCTTGGTGAGGACCCACGGAGACAGAGAGAGCCCGAAGGGGAGGGCTTTGTATTGCCAAGCTCGACCTTCAACGCAAACCGCAGCAACTGACGGTGGCGAGGAAGAGTGGAGACATGGAAATACGCGTCCATCAGGTCTAATGCTGCAGACCAACCCAGAGGACGAACGCACCGGAGGATGCGCTTCTGCGTGAGCATTCTGAACGGCAGCTTGTGCAGACAGCGGTTCAAAACGCGCAGATCTAGGATTGGCCGTGACCCACCGCTCTTTTTGGGCACGATGAAGTGTGGGCTGTAAAACCCGCTCTCCATCTCGGCTGGAGGGAGCGGCTCGATTGCATCCTTCGCCAGGAGGACAGCAATCTCCTCTCGCAAGACAGGGGCGGACAGGGGGCTGACCCTGGTGAATACACACCCGTGACTTGGGGGGCCATTTCGAGAACTGAATCGCATAGCCGAGTCTGATTGTGCGTATGAGCCACCGCGAAGAGCTGGCCCGCG